CTGGAGGAGACTACATCATGGCGGGCCTTGAATGCCCACCTCAGGGTACTCCTGGATGCCAGGATGAGGGAGAGACCAGAGTCAAGAAACATTTGGAGTTAGGTGCAGTGGTGTATGCCTGTTATCCCAGCTACTCGGGAGTCTGAGGCAGGAGGATCGCTTGAGGCCAGGAGTTCGAGACCAACCTGGGCAGCGTAGCAAGACAGACACCCCATCTCAAAAAATAAATAAATAAAAATGATGAAAAAGAAACATCTGGGAGATACCATCAGCAAAACTGGGTCTGGTTGCATGGGGATGGGTGGGAGCCCTTTCCTTCGTTACCTGTCCAACAAGCTTCGGGGGGGAGGAAAGGCCTGGGAATCGGGATTTGGGGGCGGGGAGAGCAGACTGTGAGAGCTCAGGTTCTGCAAACTACAGGCCTGCACCCAAATCCTGACTCTAGCACTTAGAAGCTCAATCACTTTGGGAAGTGACTTAACCTCTCTGAGTCTCAACGTACACACTTGCAAAGCGGTGATAACAACAGTAGAATCCGCTGTTGGAAGAGTACAGTGTTACCTTCATAGTCTGGCCCAGGACTCATCAGACCTCAATTTAAAAAAACGTGATGGCTGGTTGCGGAGGCTCAAGCCTGTAATCCCAGCACTCTGGGAGGTCGAGGCGAGAGGACTGCCTGAGCCTGGGTTCGAGACCAGCCCAGGCAACTTGGTGAAACCGCGTCTCTGCAATAAATCCCACAAACTAGCCGGGCGTGGTGGCGCATGCATCTGTAATTCCAACTACTTGGAAGGCTGAGGCGGAAAGATTGTCTGAGCCCAGCAGGTCGAATATACTGCAGAGCACAAAGGAGAGGGAGGACAGCTGGAAGGAGGTCAAGGCAGCAGCCAGAAGCGGGCAGGGCCGGCTCCAGCCAGGGTGCTGTCGGTGGAGCCATTGAGATTTTCAGGAAGAGCCACCAGCATTTCCTGATAGATTTAATGGGGAGTGTGCGAGAAAAACAGGAGTCCAAGATGGTTCCTGACCTTAGGCCTCAGCATCTGAAAGCGTGGGGTTGTCTCTAACTAAAGTGGGGAAGTTACTTCTTCAGCTAACCCCAAATACTCAAGGCCAAACTCCCTCCTCTTTCAGGCTGCAGGCCGAGGGCCGGCTGACCTCCTTTGCCCTCTGGCGCTGCCCTGCTGACCAGGACATCTCTCTCTTCTCTGGCCCCACAGGACAGTGGTCTCTCCCCCCTCCTTGTCCCCTAGGGATGAGGGGAGGGGTTGCTCCCAGCTCCATCCTATTTCTGCCAACCCTGCTTCTCTCCTTCCCCTAAAGTCTGAAGGGGACATGAAGCCCCTCCACAAAAAGACTAATGAAACCCAAGGGCCTCTAACACCTCCAGGCTGGCCTCCCAGGGGTCAGGTGGGGCTGGAGGAGGGAATGTTTCAGGGAAGGGTGTGGCCCTGACCAGTCTGACCTCCCCACTCCCACTGAGAAAGCATGGGGACGGGATGGGGATCCTGGGACTGGTGGGAAGTGAGGACCTCGGGAAGTGAGGATGGAGGGAAGAGGCCAGGAAGGAGGGATGGCCCAGACAGTGGCAGCCCAAAGGAGGAAGGCTCCCAGGCTGATGCCAGTCTCACCATCTGGGGCAACGGTTCCCATTTCACTGTGGGAGTTCATTCAGACACCACCATTCCTGGAGTTACGGGGGAGGGACCCCAAAAGATCCCATAATTTATTTATAAATATTGTGTATTTATTCTTACATATTTAAACTTCAGTCACTTTCAAAGGACTCTCTGTTTGATACATCTATTGAGATGCTTTTTCTACTGCTCAAAACAGTTTTTGAGCTTGTCCATTGTGATGCCTTTTAGTACTTCTGCCATTTTTTTGTTTGTTTGTTTCACCTCTTCCACATCAGCAAAGTTTCCCTTTGAGAATTTTTTTCATCCCAGGAAACAAAAGTTGCTCGGGGCAAGATTGGGTGAATAAGGAGGATAGGGTACAGGGAGCATGCTATTTGGTCAAAAACTGCGGAACACTCAGCGCAGTGTGGGCAGGTGTACTTGTAAATCATCCATTATGAGATGGGCAAATACAATGAAAGAATCTCAAAAAACATTCACTGAAGCCCAATGCAGCCTCTCACAACAATGTTATCTGGTACACTGAAGCCGATGGGTTCCTAAGAACACTTACTTGTACTACAAGGGGCCTGTCCTCCAAAAGATAATTCTGGGTTTTCTTGGGCTCCCCCTTGTATATTAGTCCCATTTTACAGAGAAAGAAACTGAGACTCAGGCTAAGCATCTCACAAGGGATTAAATATCTCATCCAAGCTCTCCCAGCTTGAGCCAAGACTCAAACCTGAAGCTTCCCCTCTCCAAAGTCACTGTTTCCATCCACGTCATTCTATGCATGATCAGAATTGTATATGGCAAGACCAGGAGTGGGGTGAGGCAGGTGAGGCAGCTAGGATACCTACTCTCAGGTGCCGCCCTGCACTACAGGGACCTGAGAATGAATGCCTCTTTGAATTTTAACCCTAGGTTTTTGCAAGCCTCAGCCAGGTGATGCATCCCTTTGTAGATCGTGGCCATGGTGGCTGAGAGGGTCACCAGTGTGGCTCATAGATCCTGGGGACATCTCCAACATGAGTCAGGTGTACATGGGAGCTTTCTGCACAGCTGGTTCCCTTGTGTCGCGGAGGGGGGGTCTTAGAATGCACCTGCTTCACCATGGACTGTCGGAGGAATTAAACTTGAACAGTAATGAATGGCACTTGGCAGGAGCGACAGTGACTAGCCGATCTGAGCCTGTTGGCATGACACCTCAAGGCATCCTTCTCACAACAGGAGACCTGAACAGGTGGTGAGGTCCCACCAGCCTGTGTGAGCTAATTAGGTTAGCCGTGCTGTGTTGCCACAACTGTGGAGCAGAGGCATCCCTGAGGTCAGGTGGGCTGCAATTGACCTTCAGGCTGCCTGCTGGCTGCCCCTGCCTCTGGAATTCTAGCTGCTCAAATACCTGTCTCAGAGGAAGCAACCAGTCAGTCCTGTCTCTGCAGGCCCTCAGCAAGAGGAACAGGGCTTATCTTGCTGCAGGAGAAGGAGGAACAGCTCTTTTGCACAGGAAAAAAGATGGCATTCATGGAATTTCAACCACAAAGGAATTCCTCATAATGATCATCTTCAGCCATGCATTCACCTTGGTTCTCAAATAATGCTCCATGATTAATGTCCACATGGCCTGGGCAGGATAATATGTAATAATAAATAATGATTTATTATTTCTGGCCATATTCTTTCTTTTGAAAAATTGATCATTGATCCCTTGTTGGAAATCTTTCTCAACTAAAGCAGAGAGATAAGTTGGCAGATCTAAAAGAAAAACTGACCTACTCAGGGTTGCTCAAAATGTCCTATTCCCAGTAGTGGAAAACTGTCAGGGAAGGAGGGGTGAGATTGGCAGCTGAGGGAAACTGCTAGGGGAGGGAGGGGCATACCTCATCAACAAGGGGAACTGCATAATCAACATTTGTATACCTAATCCTGAATTGTGCCCCACATATTTATAATAAAAAATTAAAAATATTTTTAAAACTGCCTATTTCAGAAAGCCTATAAAATCTAGAACCAAAGATCAAATTCTCAATCAGTGGAAAGAATTGGCTATAATGCCATTCCAAAAAAGCACAGACTGATAGAGCTAACAAGAATGTTAGAGAATATTTATTCTAACCCTTGATTTTGCAGTTAAAGAAAATGAGACCTTGACGCATCCTGGTACTTGTCCCAAGTCACACAGAAAAAGACGGCAGAGGTCAGACGCACAGGCTCATGCCTTCAATCCCAGCACTTTGGAAGGCCGAGGCAAAAGGATCACTTAAGCCAAGGAGTTTGAGACGAGCCTAGCAACATAGGGAGACCTCTTCTCTACAAGAAATTTAAAAATTAGCTGGGCATGGTAGCATGTGCCTGTAGTCCCAGCTTCTCAAGAGACTGAGGTGGAAGGATCCCCTGAGCCCGGGAAGTGAGACTGCAGTGAGCCATGATTGTGCCACTGCACTCAGGCCTGGGTGACAGAGTGAAACTCCAACTCAAAAAAAAAGGAGCAGAGACTGGGCAGAAATGCAAAGGTTTTGATTTACATGGGAGGACTTTTATCCCCACTAGATGCAAATGATGATGCCACAATTCTGCACTTCCTATCTCCCTTCTTGAGAGAATGTCATGTAGGTGAAAAAGTCTAGGCTTCAAAGCCAGACGGGCCTGGGTTCAAATCCCACCACTGCCACTTAAAAGCTGTGTGACTTCAGAAAACTGACGTGCCTCAGCTTCTCTGTTCATAAAATGGGAAGAAATGTGTTTACCTAGCAGGTTGTTATGAAGTTTGAATGAACGAATGTGTATGACACAGTCAGCTCAGTGCCCCGCATAGAGCATCCAACCAGGTTCCCTTTCTCTTCCCATCTCCCTACAAAGTCACTGTCCACAAGATGTCGAAAATGCACAACACCCAGTCAGTATGCTGGTCATTCAGAGTAACACAAATGGAAGGAGCTAGTGTTGATTAAGAACTGACCATATGCCAGATATTTACATGTATTATCTCACTTAATGTTTGCAGCAATCCTATGGGTTGGTACTACTGCCCCCAGTTTACAGATTAGAAATTAAGCCAGGCTCGGTGACTCAGTCTGTAATCCCAGCACTTTGGGAGGCTGAGGCGAGTGGATTGCCTGAGCCCACGGGTTCAAGATCAGTCTGGGCAACTTGGCGAGACCTCGTCTCTACAATAAATCAAAAATTAGCTGGGTGTGTTAGCGTGCGCCTATAGTTCTGGCTACTTGGAAGGTTGAGACAGAGGGATTGTCAGAGCCCAGAAGGTCAATGCTGGGGTGGCAGTGAGCATACCACTGCATTCCAGCCTTGGAGACAGAGACAGAGTGAGGCTCTGACTCAAAAAAAAAAAAAATGAAAGAAAATAGGTCAAATAGTTTTTCCAGAGTTGCAGTTACACAACTAGAAACTGATAAAGCCAGGATTTGAATTCAGATTGGTCCGACTCTGAAGCTACCAGGCCATCCTTCTCAGGTCACCTAGAAGCCACCGTTCTCACTCTCTTTACTTGTCACCTTCTCTGCCCATCACATCTTCCAGCCTATACCACTAGACACCTGCATGGCCAATTAGATCATGGTTGAGGTCGCCTTGTCTCCATCTATAGCTATAAGTAACAGTCTTACCAGTGAGATTTTGACTGAACCAATACTATACTAGTTTTACTGAGCAATCTCTTGGCTGGGTCCTTTGAACATGATGAAACTCCCACCCCAGCTAAATTCCAAGTCACAGAAGGTGAGGAGTCCAGAGAACCTCAGGTCACACTAGGCATTATTGCCAAGGGTCATGTTAACATCTCCCATCTCCCTGCAGCCTTAGAAAAACAATCAATCTAGTCTTAGAGTACTCAGTACTCACTCAGAGCCAGCAGGGTCCTTGGGGGGCACTTCATCACAGCTCTCATTTTACAGAAGGGGAATTTGAGGTCAGAGAGCAAAAGCGCCCCTCCCCCTAGCTCATTTTGCAAGTGTTCAGACATTCTAGGTCTAATGTTAGATCTAGAAAACCTCAGACATCACCTACTCTAATTGCCTTCCCCTTAGAAATGAGGAAGCTGAGGACTCCTGAGACAGCTACAGTCAGAAAATTTGCTTTTCATTTATCAAGAAACAACAAACCAAAGCTAAGAGCAAACAGAAGCTAAGTCAAGTTTCATGGCCTGAGGGGAGATGTCCCTAGACAGCAAACACTGTGTGAAGTCTCAAGGACAAGAACTCGGTCCCCTCACTCCCAGGCTCGTTCTCTCTGGCTGGCTGGCTTCTCCCTTCATTATGTGATTCAAGGTACACCACCTGCCTTAGGTAACCCTGACAAACTTGCCAGAGTCCACCATTCAAGTCCCTGGAGACCCAGATTACATGGAAGGTACCTGTAAGAGTGGGAGTTTGTCAGACTTGGTGGCTCAGCCTGTAATACCAGCAATTTGGGAGACCGAGGCGAGAGGATTGCCTGAGCCTGTGGGTTTGAGACCAGCCTGGGCAACTTGGTGAGACCTCATCTCTACAATAAATCAAAAATTAGCCGGGTGTGGCAGCATGCACCTGTAGTTCCGGCTACTTGGAAGGCTGAGGTGGAAGAACTGCCAGAGTCCAGCAGGTCGACACTGGAGTGGCTGTGAGCATGCCACTGCACTCTTCCTGGGCTACAGAGTAAGATTCCAACTCAAAAAAAGTGGGAGTCAAAAGGCACCCAATGTGGAGAGAAGACAGTCTGTGTGGCTAACGGGCTCCTGGTGGTGGGTGTGAAGCATGCCTGAGAGTGGGAGGTGGCAGGGACCACCTTCCCCATAAGGCCTGATCCTTCCCAAGTTGGCTGGTTGTAACATAACCTCAGAAGGACAACTAGGCCAAATCTCAACTCCACATCCTCTGGTCTCAGAGTCCACTGTTACACCTTCGTTCCTTGAACCTTAAGGACATTTTCATTTCCACCGTGAAACACGCAAATGTCTCCTGGGGCGATTAAATATTATTGGTAGTCATCGGAGTGATTGATTAACCCCTCAGTGGGTTTTTCTGAGGCAGCAGGAAGATGAAGAAATGTTAACAGGACCCTTACAACAATACCCAGTGTGGCCTGAGGCTCTCGGGACTCCTGGTCTCCTGTGACTTAGAACCAAGCTCAGCTGGGAGTTTCATCATCTCCAAAGGGCTCAGCCAAGGAATTGCTCAAAAAGACCAGCCAAGTAATGGCTCAGCCAGAATCCCACGAATCCTTTAGTGCTTTGAACACATGGGGAGGAAGAGGGTCAGGCTGGGGGTCGAAAGAAAGGCAAGGGAGGTCAAGAACATGGTGCCTGGGAAAGAGGAGAAAGAAACTACTCCGCAGTGTTGATCTCTATCCAGCTTCTTGGCAGAAGTCAGGCCAAGAGGCCAAAAGCAGCACAAACTCTAGAGTTTAGGAAAAGTGACTAAAAGGTATCAGGTTGCTGAATGAGTGACAGCCCCTGAGAGGAAAGGAAGGAAATCAGTCCACTCTCCCTCAAGAGCTCTGTACACATTTGTCTCACTTAATCCTCAAAATAGTCCTGCAAGGAAGCTGTTATAATCCCCATTTTACGGGCAGAAGTGAAGTCCCTCCCCCACAGGCCCTCAGCTGCTCTGGGGCAGAGTCAGAATTAGCGCCCAGGAGTTCCTGACTCTCTCTCTCTCTGTGCTGTTTTGCCTACTCCACAATGCAGTCACCCCCAGGTGTCCCAGAGCGTTCTCTTCCTTACATAAGTCCAAGATCTTACTTTTCCTGACGTCTTGATTCCTTTAGCCAGGGACGCGTACACGATGACCCAAGCCAGGAAGAGGCAGAAGGCTAGTGGCCACCTGATCTCACCAGGATACTCAATCCCTGCAGAAATCTTCAGCACAAAGTACCTAAGAATTGGAAAGAGGGAAGAGAGAGGGGAGGAGGGAGAGAAGGAGGGGAGAAGAAGGGGTGAAGGAGGTGATAGCCCACAGGCTGTAAGCCCCCAGCAGAGTCAGGCGCCTTGAACAAAACCCCAGCAACCTCCCCCGTGCCCATAAGGGACTCAATCAGATCAAGCCTCGGGGGACTTGCGAGTCTGGGCTCTCGCCCATGGCCGTCTGCAGAGACGCCAGCTGGATCTGCCCTGCTCTTGATTCTGTGCCGGGAGACCGCGGTGGCCCTGGGTAGGCTTGTGCACAAGCCTGTCAGCGCCACTGTCCCCTAGAGTTGCCCTGGGAGAAAACAGAAACTCTAAACTGTCAAGGTTGATTTTTGTGTGTTTTCGGTATGGCTCTACCCTTTTATGAGTATGTGTTTGGATGATTTTAAGTTTTAGAAATTAGTACATAGTGGAAACTGCATATGTTGCATGACTAGGAAAGCAGCTCTAGATTTTAGTTCAAGTTGTGTTGGACATGTCCTGCGGCTGAAGTTGGCTAAAATGCAAAAAAGCAGGCCTGCCTAGAACTTGCTCAAAGAATGCATTCCAAGGTAGATGAACAGCCACAGCTGGCCCCTTGAGTCGATGATGATGACATCGTGGCCTACGCAGACACCCACGCCCTTGCCAGGCAAACAGAGCCCGGGGATGGCTAGCAGGGAGGCCTCACCCCTGATTAAAGGAGGCAGCATCAGGGACAGTGCCTGAAAACAGTCACACAACCCCTCCATCTCTTCCACCATCTAGCTACGCATCCTGAAGGAAATTGCCGTGTTTGTGTAGGTTGGCGTTTTCCTGGGACCTGAACAAAGGGCGAGCCAGAATCCGGACTCTGCAGCACCGTAGAACCGATGGCCCAGAAAGTTCTGACCTGCTGAGGGAGTCAAAGGTGGTAGCCTCACGCCCAGCATGGCCAGCTACCTTGAGAGGCCATCCTGCAGGAAAAGAGTCATGTTTTTCAGAGCAGTGATGGCCAAGCCCTGTGCCGACAGAGCCTCTTTCAGTCCCAAATCCTGGCACCACCCGGGTTCAGGAGGACTGGCCAAGGGTGAAACTAACTGTGGCCCCAAGGCAAAACCTCTCTCAAGCAATGAAAAGGACCTTCCCCGTGTCCCCATCCCCCAAGTGGGTCAACGGCTTGGTCAACAATTCCAGCATACCTTGGCCATCTCAATGGCTCCATACTTCCATAAGAGACCTCAGACAAGTCCTGAGACGCTTCTGATGACACTTCTCCTTAAAAATTAACACTAACCCCAGAGGATTAGCAAAGACCACCCAAAGCAGTTTTGGGTGAGCCATTTTTCAGTACATCTACCTGCACAGACTGTGTGATCAGACTTCATTGTACCACCAGTTCAGACCCAGTTTCTCAGTGCTCAGGGGGAATTCAAGACCCACCCCTGAAACCTAGACAGTTATCTTCAGAAGTGATTGATTAATCATTTCCCTAATTCTCCCTTCTGCTCTGCAGGAGGAAACCACATTCCTGCTGAGCCTGTACAGGAGAGAAAACCTGGAATAGGCATTCATGGCAATTGGAAGGACAATAGGGGAATCGGTGACCATTTCTTATTATCTAAGTAAAGGCCACACACTGGGATTTGATTTCTGGACTTTATTTGCCCCCAGTGCTCTATTCGAATTGTTTGGCTAACACTTAAAATGGGAACAATCACACAAAAATCCAGTGGCCAGACAGGTATCTATATATGACAGGCAATCTCTTCAGTCTGCCACAGTTCCTACCACTCCCTATTGCCTCACTTGTTCATAAATCACTCATTGATATTCTGAGCCCCTGAGTACATTTGAGTTTACAATCCCTGACTTAAAGCTTAACTAGAGAAATTCTTTATTTATCCTCTTTTGAGCTCTGTCTACATTGACCTCCCTCAAGAAATAATTTCATCAACTTCACTAAACCTTCCTATGGTCTCTAAGGATCTTCTAGTATCCCTGAACCTCAGTCTTCAATGTCCACCAATACAGTAAAAAAAAATTAAGGCAAAGCTGTAAAAAAATAAAATAAAATTGGTTCTTGTTTAAACAAAAACTTTGACCATGACCTGTTTTCTTATTTTTTTTTCTTGCTTCCCTGAAGTCGAGTACAGAAGGGGGGGGGAAGGCAACCTGGTTAATTAAGGTCCATGTAGATCACACTGGATCAAGGTTTTGAAATGATTTCTCATTAGCATCATGAATCATAGCAGCACTGATTCTGTCACCACCAACCACCACTTAGCCAGCTCTCCATTTCAAGTCCACAAGACACAACAATCTGCTCTTGGAAGCCAAGCCAGGAAGAAAATCTTCCTCTCTCAGCCTGTCCCTCGAGCCACCCACCCACACCTCTGGTCTGCAGATTGAATGTTTATTAGTTTACTGGGTTTCTCTTAGAAAGTTTGAAGAGAAAAAGCATCTTACTTGAAATACTCTTCACTCCCACTGACAAACGTCTTATTGGCCTGGCTGGTGAAATTAACCATTGTCAAGTTGGGATAGGCCGTCATGCAGAAAGTGGAGTTCTTGATCTGTATTTTGGGATGGTCACTGATCACACAGGAATCTATTTAAGAGAGGACAGAATAGAAACACATTGAAATCTGTACAGAAAAGTCATACATGGGTCTCTCTCTAGCAGTTTAAAAACAAGAGCCAAAAACATTTGCCAAATATTGGAGAGTAACTTCACAAAAGTAGTAACTGTCTAACAATAATGTATGGCATATTTCAAAATAACTAGAAGAGAAGAATTGTAACATTCCCAACACAAAGAAATCATAAGTTTTTGATGCAATGGATATCCCAACTACCCCGATTTAATCATTACACATTGTATATGAGAGGGACCCCAAAAAACAATTCATTTACCAGAAATTATATATTTGTTCTTATACGTTTAAACTTCAGTCACCTTCAAAGTACCCTCTGTTTGGTGCAATGCATCATGTATCAAGACATTTTTTCCACTGCTCAAAACAGTTTTTGAACTCATCAGTGCAGATGCCTTTTAGTGCTTCTGTCATTTTTTGTTTCACATCTTCCACATCAGCAAAACGTCACCCTTGGAGGAGATGTTTTCATCCAGGGAGACAAAAAATAATTCACCCAGGGTCAGATCAGGTGAAGGAGGGTGGGGCACGGGAGTCATGTTTTGGTCAAAAACTGCAGAACACTCAGTGCAGTGTGGGCGGGTTGATCATGTAAATCCCCCATCATGAAATGGACAAACACATTGAAAAAATCTCCAAAAAAATTCACTGAAGCCTAATGCAGCCTCTCACAACAACACTAGCTGGTACACCGATGCCGATGGATACCTAGAACTCTCACCCAGTGGGGGAAGCCTGTACTACATGGGACCCGTCCTCCAAAAGATAATTCTGGGTTTTGGGGGGTCCCCTCCTTGTACATCTATCAAAATATTCCATGCACCCTAAACATACGGACAGCTATAACCTATCCACTTTGCAAAATACAAAAAAAAAAAAAGTATTAACTGAGTAAAAGAATCACAGAATTATTTTTCTTCTTCGTTAGAGTGCCAGTCCCCTCTACCCCCCAAAGCAGCACCCTGCACTGATGACAAAGGTTCACATTTCTGGGCCATTCTCTATGTGGTGGGCAGGCATCTCCCACACAGTATCTCATTTAATCCTCACAACAGCCTAGGCAGGGGGTAATGTTATCTCCATTCTTGGGACAGGGAAACAGGCTTCATTAAAGAGGTTAAGTATCTCTACTGAAGTCACACAGCTAATGACAGAAAGAATCAGGATTCAAACCCAGATCCTCATGGCGCCACAGAAAACAAATATATGGCAACAAATTTCACTGGAAACAAGCAAACCTCCTGAGGGCTATGGTTACAGAAAAGTTCACTCAGACTCACTGCCAGCACCATGGCTAACATACAGTAAGTACACAAGATATGTGTGACGGGTGCTTTCTAATTCATATGGGTCACCAGAGGCAGTGGCCACCTGTGTTCTGGTGAACCTGGGACCTAACATGGTGGTACTCATTTGGGGACTGATTTGCTCCACAGGGAACATTTTGCACTGTCTGGAGACATTTTTAGTTGTTGCATCTGGGGGAGCTGATACTAGGGAAACCTAGTGAGTAGAGGTCAGGGATGCAAATTAAATCTTCAACCATGTACAGGACCACAGAACAGGAAACTATCCAGTTCAAAATGTCCACAGTGCTGAGATTCAGAAGGCCTGGCCTAGGCTAAGATGGGGAAGGGGAATTAACCACGTGGGTCTTAGGGTCAGACAGTGTGCTAGACACTTTAACAATTATTATCTCATGAAATACTTAGAAAACCTAGGAAGTACACATTATTATCTTCATTTTAAACAGCAAGAATCTGAAATCTTTCCGACCGTGTTACAATACCTCTCTAACAGCTTTATAAATACAAACTGACAGATACTTTAAAGCAGCGGTCCCCAACATTGCTGGCATCGGGGACCAGTTTCATGAAAGATAATTTTTCCATGGACCTCAACGGCAGGGGATAGTTTCAGGATGATTCAAGCACATTACATTTATTGTGCACTTTATTTCTATTATTATTACCTTGTAATAGATAATGAAATAACTATTATTACGAAATTATTATTTTGGTATGAGTCTGCAAGCAGTTGATTTATTAGGGTCTCTGTGCAGTCAAACCTCACTGCTCATGTTAACCTGTATTTGCAACTGCTCCCCAGAGCTGGCATCCCCGCCTCAGCTCCACCTCAGACTATCAGGCATTAGATTCCCAGAAGGACCATGCAGCCTAGACCTCTCTCCCATGAGCAGTTCACAAGAGGGTTCACGCTCCTATGAGAATCTAATGCCACCGCTGACCTGACAGCAGGCAGCGCTCAGGCGGTAATACAAGCAGTGGGGAGCGGCTGTAAACACAGATGAAGTTTTGCTTATTTACTCACCACTCACCTCCTGCCGTGCGACCCAGTTTCTAACAGACCATGAACCAGTACCAGGCTGTGGCCGAGGGACTGGAGACTCCTGCTTTAAAGAATACACCAGGGCTCGGTGGCTCAGCCTGTAATCCCGCACCTTTGGGAGGCTGAGATGAGTGGACTGCCTGAGCCCACGGGTTCGAGACCCGCCTGGGCAGCGAGACCTCATCTCTACAATAAATCAAAAAATCAGCCGGGCGTGGTAGCGCATGCCTGTAATTCCGGCTACTTGGAAGGCGGAGGCGGAAGGATCACCGGAGCCCAGCAGGTCGAGGCTGCGGTGGCCGGGAGCGGCCACTGCACTCCAGTCGTGGCGACAGAGTGATACTCCAACTCAAAAAAAAAAAAAAAAAAAGACTACACCAGGGCCAGGAACGGTGGCTCACACCTATAAACCCTGCACTTTAGGAGACTGAGGTGGGAGGATCACTTGAGCCCAGAAGTTCAAGACCAGCCTGGGCAACATAGCAAGACCTCATCTCTACAAAACTTTAAAAAATTAGCCAGGTATGGTGGCACACGCCTGTAGTCCCAGCTACTCAGAAAGCTCAGCAGGGACGATCGTTTGAATCCAGGAGTTGGTGGCTGCGGTGAGCCATGATTGTGCCACTGTATTCCAGCCTGGGCAACAGAGTGAAACCCTGACAAAAAAGAATCCACCAGGACTAATCCCAAAGGACAGTATTCTGTAAAGGAGCAATAGCAAAACAGTAATAATAACAATAACAAGTAACACTCACACGGCACTTACGATATCTCGGACACTATTGAAGTGCTTTGTATGTATGTTGACTAATTTAAGCCTCACATTCACCCTATGAGATAGGTACTATTATTAATGCTATGTCACAGATAAAGACACTGGCTGGGCTCAGTGGCTCAGCCTGTCATCCCAGCACTTTGGGAGGTCAAGGCGAGTGTATTGCCTGAGCCCATGGGTTCCAGACCAGCCCGGGCAATTTGGCAAGAGTTCGTCTCTACAATAAATCCCAAATTAGCTGGCTGTGGTAGTGCATGCCTGTAGTTCCGGCTACTGGAAGGCTGAGGCGAAAGGATCGCCGGAGCCCAGTAGATCGACCCCGGGGTGGCTGTGAGTGTGCCACTGTCCTCCAGCCTGGGCAACAGAGCAAGGCTCCAACTAAAAAAAAAAAAAGAAGACACTAGGCACAGACAGATGCAGTTCTTGACCAAAGTCATACATCAAACCAAGATGCAAACAAGCACTCTCTCTCAGGAGTCCATACTTTCAACCACTCTACCATGAAACAGCAGGGGTCACAAACTCAGACACCCACAGAGGCCAGGCTGATGACACACATGAAGAAGGCATAAAATGGAAGGTTATAGGGAGAGGTGAGGACTGTGGCCAACCAGAGAGTACTCCAGCCATTCGGTGCTATGTTCTTCCAGATGTTGAGGCAAATAATACAGAATATCTGAATATTAACATGAAATCTCTCCATGTAAACATGTTGCAAAAGAGCCAGGTGTGGTGGCCCATGCCTGTGATCCCAGTGCTTTGGGAGGTCAAGGCAGGAGTTTGAGATCAGCCTGGGCAGCATAGCAAGACCCCATTTCTACAAAAAATAAAAAATTAGCCAGGCATGGTGTTGCACACCTGCGGTCCCAGCTATTCGAGAGGCAGAGGAAGGAGGATCACTGAAGCCCAAGAGTGTGAGGCAGTTGTAAGCTGTAACCACACACTGCACTCCAGTCTGGGCGACCGAGTGAGGCCCTGTCTCTGAAACCATAAATTAAAAATAATACATTATGGCCAGGCTTGGTGGCTCAGCCTGTAATCCCATCACTTTGGGAGGCTGAGGCGAATGGATTGCCTGAGCCCACAGGTTTGAGACCAGCTGGGCAACTTGGCAAGACCTCATCGCTACAATAAATTTTTTTTAAAAATTAGCTGGGTGTGGTAGCACACACCTGTAGTTACAGCTACCTGGAAGGCTGAGGTGGAAGGATCGCCAGAGCCCAGCAGGTCGACACTGGGGTGGCTGTGAGAGCGCCACTGCACTCCAACCTGGGCGACGGAGTAAGACTCCAGCTCAAGAATAATAATAACAACAATAACAACAATAATAATAATAAATTGTTATACATGGATCTAAATTGTTTTTAAACACTGAGAACAGCCATTTTAAAAAAGCATATGAGCCAGGCTCGGTGGCTCAGCCTGTAATCCCACACCTTTGGGAGGCTGAGGTGAGTGGATTGCCTGAGCCCACAGGTTCGAGACCCGCCTGGGCAACGAGACCTCATCTCTACAATAAATCAAAAAAATCAGCCCGACATGGTAGCGCGTGCCTGTAATTCCGGCTACTCTGAAGGCTGAGGCAGAAGGATCGCCGGAGTCCAGCAGGTCGAGGCTGCGGGGGCCGGGAGCGGCCACTGCACTCCAGTCTGGGCGACAGAGTGAGACTCCAACTCAAAAAAAAAAAAGAGCATATGCAGCCTAGATCAGATGTATGAGTGCCCACTGTACACCCTCCGTGGAACAGCAAGATGGATAAGACTGTGGGCTCAAGGGGTCCACTAGCCCTGAGGCTTGGACAAGTTCCCTTCTTTTTCCAAGCTCCCACTTTCTGATAGCAGTTGTTCACATGTCTGCTGCAAGGACCAAATTAAGTGGGATCACAAATGAAAAAAAAAAAAATCCACACGATGCCTGCACACGGTTGGCCCCCAATAAATGTTAGCTGTAACGCAATCATCATGGACACACCTTTTCAGGGAGTGAGCATCTCGAGTCCTGACCGTCATCTTCCGCGAGCTCACTTGCGGCCTGCCATAAATTGCCTACCGCCTCCCCCACATCCCCCAGAGTTTCTCAGAATATTGAGTAAAAATTAAGACAATCGTGAGAATTCCTTTCCTTTGATTCCTTCTTTAAACCAAAGTCTCTCAACAGCGGTGCTAACGTCATGTGGGGTCCGCTGATTCTTCGTTGTGGGAGCTGTCCTGTGCACTGCAGGACATTTAGCTGCACCCCTGGACCCCGTCCACTAAATACCAGGAGTGTGCGTCCTCACCCCTTGTTGCAACAACCAAAAATGTCTCTGAACACTGCCAAATTTCCCTTGTAAACGCCCCCCAGGTTGAACGTTGTTCAATGTTCTCTTCTTCAGTCTAATCAAATAACAGACTCTCAGGAAGAGGCCCACTTAATAACTGCCAAATGCTGGTATTTGCTGGGGAGGCTTCTGTGTCCTCCAGCAGCCACCTGAATGAAGACACCTCAAGGACCACCCGTATCCCTTCTCTGTAAACAAACACATAAGCTGTTACTCCTCGTCCTCCGGCCAACAAACACGTCCACCCCTGAGACCCAAGAGATCACTGACTCGAGGGCAAACCGCTTGCTTCCCGTCGCGAAGCGCGCGGGCAGCTTCCCTAGAGAGCGTCTCTGGCTGTCCGCGGATGGATCCCCGCCCGCAGCAGTTCAAGGTCACGGTTCCTGCGGCAACGCAGCCCGGCGCCCAGGCTCCCCGCTCGCTCGCTCCCGGCCACGCCAAGCCTCCTTGCAATATCCCTTCCCACCACTGGGCGGCAGGAGCGTGCTTCCCAACGCGGGGCGCCCGCGGGTCTGCGGGTGAAGGAACGACGGGCCTTCTCACCGGAGAGCTCCGCGGCCCAGCAACCCCGAACAAAGAACAGCGGTAATGATCGTGCTAAATTGGAAGCAGTTGGAACGGGATTCTCTTTACTCGGGCAATTATTAATAAATGAAAGCGCATGAAAGACCAGAGAGAAAAGGAATCGTTTAATTAAACTTCTAATGAGAATGAAGCCATTCCCGAAATAGAAATGGTACTGATGTGGTTTCCCAATCCAGCTAACCCAGCTAGTCCTAATTGTCACCAAACAGTCGCCGTCTCACTTGGCAGGGCACAGATTAGGTGTTCCCCGTTACAGGGAGCAGGAGGGTGGAATCACCCTCTAAAAGTCTGCCTCACTCACGACCTGCACCTTAGAAACACATGGCCAATCCAGCCTCCACCCAGGGACAGATCCAGGGCTCTCCTCTGGGGCTGGAGTGGGTACCGAGCCCCGACATCTCCAGGGTGAAGCGGAGGTCCCGGGCCATATGTCCCTAGCAGCACTGAGAGGGACATGGGACAAGCATCTGCCCACTGTGACCGGAGGCACAGTGGCAGGCAACGAATGGCAGGCAACATAGCCCCTTTCTCCTGGGATGAGTCCTTTTGTCACCAGTCATGGGGTAGTTACAGGGTGGTGAGGGGGAGGATGAGCCTGGAAGGTCATCGAGGGAACAGAGCTGAGCTCGCTCACAAAGATGGTGTGGGGACCAGTCTGGGAAGATCTGTAATCTGGGTTCCCGATTTGTCCAATGGGACTCTGCAAGACGACGGGCTGTCATCACCTTTTCTAAGTCATCGCAGAATTCCAAGGGACCCACACTCCCGCAAGGGATAACCTGGCCCCAAGAACAGAACATGCTGGTGTGCAGATAACACAGAGCATGACAGGCAGGGGCTGCACTGAGAAAAAGTGGGGGCTGGAACCTTGCTTCTTTGGGCCAGGGGAAAAAAAATAATGAAAGCACCGGCTAAGAATGAGATAGGATCTTCCCGGCCTGGCCCTGCACTCGCAGGGAATAATCGGAGTGAAAAGTGTTCATTGTCTCTGTGCTCCCAGCTTGCACCGGTTTTATGGCTTGCGCTGGTCAACTAGAAGCTTAGCTGTGCAACGTCCTTGCTTTGCCTGTCATGTCGCCTGGGTGATTGTGAGCCAGGCTGGAAACCACCACCCGTGTGCCTGGCCTAGTCAACATGCTCAGCTTTGCTTAAAAGCACACACCCACACCCACACCGAGGCTGTAAAATAAATATGTGTCCATGATAGAAGATGTAGAAAGGAATGGTGTCTCTCTGGGGCTGTGGGGAATTCGTCTTCTTGTCCTCAACACACTCAAAGGGTTAAATAGCACCCTAGTTCAGCAATGTACAGACTGTCAGGGGAAAGGCTGGTTTTTTAGGGCAACACTAGGCACCAAATAGAGATCCCAGGAAATTGGCCTCAGCACTGACCCAGCTGACATAGTGTCAACAGATCTACTGGGGGAGGGAACTACTTGTTTCTAGGTCCCCATTAAAATGACCAGAGCAGCCAGGCACAGTGGCTCAAGCCAGCACGAGGAGGCCGAGGCAGGAGGATTACTTGAGCCCAGAAGCCCAGAGTTCAAGACCAGCCTGGGCAACATAGTGAGACTTCTTCTCTACAAAAAATGTTTTTTTAAAAAAATTAGCCAGGCATGGTGGCACATGTCTCTAGTCCCAGCTATTTGGGAGGCTGAGGCCAGAGGATCGCTTGAGCCCAGGAGTTCGAGACTGTGGTGAGCCGTGGGTGTGAGGATGCGGAGAAAAAGGTACGTTTCTACACTGCTGGTGGGTATGCAAACGAGTGCAACCTCTTTGGAAAACAGTTTGGCAATTTCTGAAAGAACTAGAAATTGACTTTCCATATGACCCAGCAACCACCTATTGGGAATATACCCAGAGGAATTCAAATCACTCTACAAAAAAGAGAGCTGCACACACGTTTGTTGCAGTACTATTCACAATAGCAAAAACATGGAACCAACTGTGCTGCCCATCAAAACTGGACTGGATAAAAAAATGTGGTATATATAAACAATGGAGTATTATGCAGCCATAAAGAAGGACAAACACATGGACGTCACAGCAACTTGGATGGATTTAGAGTCCATCATTCTCAGTGATCTATCACAGAAACAAAGGACAGAGTACCATATGTTTTCACTCATAAGTGGACCTTGAACAATTATCATAATACTATTAGAAAGGGACTGGCAGTAGTGGGAAACTGCCGGGGGGGGGGGCACGCCTCATCAACAAGGGTACCTGCATAATGAACATTTGTATACCTAATCCTGAATTGTATCCCACATCTTTAAAATTGAACATTTTTTTAAAAAATTAGCCAGGCATGGTGCCATGTGCCTCTAGTCCCAGCTATTTGGGAGGCTGGGGCCAGAGGATCGCTTGAGCCTAGGAGTTTGAGGCTGCGGTGAGCCCTGAGTGGGCCACTGCACTCCAGCCTGAGCAACAGAGTGAGACCCTGATTCAAAAAAAGAGAAGAAAAGCCAAAGTAACGAACACAAACTCCTTCTATTTGTAGAGTTTAATACTTCTGCAACTGTAATGCATCCCTCATTTCTTTTCCCCAGTCAACATGCTCATAAAGTAGGTAGGCGAAGAATATTATTTTTATTTTTCAGATGAGGAAAACTGATGTCCAGAGAGAAGTTCCTTGACTCACACACACGCATACAGTCCGTGGCAGAGATGTCCCATAGACCAGAAAGCCTTTCCGATGTGTCCACCCTCTCCTTCCTCACATTCACTCTCTCACCCTTGACCTAAGGAGCGGACAGTTTCCCCTGTGTTCTCAAGTCCCAACCTAGGTCACCTCAAGTCCCAACCTGAAACAACTTCCAGGAGCACTCCCTGGCTCCCTGAGAGACCTGTCCTCTTCTGGGCATTACTATCAGATGTTTATGTCTAAAGGTCTGCTCTAATATTCACCTCAGGCACTGAGCAGTATTATGGAGTCTGGCTCCAGGATCATTCTCCTAGACCCTGGCACCTAGGGCATGATTTTCAAAATGTCACCTGGGACTCTAGTTAAAATGCCAATTCTCATTCAGGAAGGCAAAGATGGAGCTTCCAACCACCTCTCAGGTGACGCTTTGAATTTAAGAAACACTATGAAACAAAGTAAGATTCTAGAGGGCCTGGTTAAAAAGCATATTTTCTGGCCCCACCCAAATCTAAAACTCAGACTATCATGTGCACCTGGTTGTCTGCATTTTTAACAAACACTCCAGGCTGGGTGTGGTGGCTTACACCTGTAATCCCAGCACTTTGGGAGGCCAAGACAGGAGGACTGCTTGAGTCCAGGAGTTCGAGACCAGCCTGGACAACATAGCAAGATTTTGTCTTTTACAAATAATAAAAATTAAAAAATTAGCCAGGCATGGTGGTGTGCACCTGTAGCCCCAGTTCCTCAAGAGGCAGAGGTGGAAGGATTGCCTGTGCCCAGAAGGTTGAAGCTTCAGGGAGCTGTGAGTGTGCCACCGCACTCCAGTCTGGGCAACAGAGTGGGAATCCAACTATTCCTGAGCAAACAAAAACATGATTAGCCCTCCTCTGGGCCATGAGCCCCTTCAACGTCAGAATTGTTTTGTGTTTGGTTGCTTGATTGGATCTCTGTGCTCCTGGCACCTAGCATAGGACCTAGTGTGCATAGTATGTGCTCAATTAATTTTATTGAATGAATGAATAGTTCAGAATACACATCCCTAAAGCAAGTATTTCCAAACTTACCTAATAAAAGCTTGGTTTTATCTTTGCATTCTGGAGTATTCCAAGGGTTGTTGCAGGAGCCCCAGGGCAGCACAGACACAAAGGAGGCAAACAGGTAGAAAAGTGTGTAGCAAATAATCACATTGTAGTATATGGCAATGAGGACGGAGATGATCAGCATCGCAATGCCACAGCCTGTGGAGGCAAAAATTGCGGGGATTCATCACACCGGAGCCTGTGGAATTCCTACAGCTGGGCTCAGTGGAGACCTCCTGCTGGGCTCTCTTGTACGGCTGAATGCACTAAAGACGGAGCAAACTCTATATCTACCAGGGAGACTGAGGCATTCTGCCAGGAACTCAACAATGCCAGATGGGATCCTGGGCCACCGTTCGGAAGGGCCAAATCCAGGAGTGAGCGCCAGTGGCCACAGAGGCAGCTCTTCCTTCCTGGGTTCCCCTCTCCCCATAGGGCAGGGTAAGGAAGGGCCCTGAGGAGGCTGGGGCGGGGGCGCACTCACCTTGCAGAGCTGGGATGGCCTTCCACACAGAAACCGGCCCCTGGCTGGCAAACTGGCCCAGCGACACCTCGAGGAAGAAGATGGGCAACCCAGCCAGAGCCAGCATCATCAAGTAAGGGATGAGGAAAGCACCTTGGAAAGAGAATGGGGAGTGAGAGCCCTGGGAGGCAGACGCCGGCTCGGATCCACCTTAACCCTCCAGGCTGGGGCTGGGCTCCGCCTCAACGAACTAAAGGACAGTGTAGCTCCTGTTCGAAGGCAGCTCCAGCACCGTCCTCCAAAGGGAACCCATGCAAATACACTCGAGAAACAGGTCACTAGGGATTATGGGCTGATGGAGTGCTATTCTTTCTATCACAGCACTTCACTTTCCCAAAATTAAGCCCTTCCAGGGTTCAATGGGTCCATGCCCTTGACTCACCACTGGGTTCAGATGGGTGAAATCTCGTCCCGCCTCCGCCCTCCAAGGACCTAAAATCGTGAATGCCTGACACCAAGATCCCTTCTCTGCAGTAAGTCACCTGCTCACCTTCTGCCCACCCGGGCTGGGCCTGCGGTGTGGGACAGCCATGGGGACACCCATCCCTCTCCCCAACCCACCCCCATCCCAGACCCTCACATACTTCTCAACTTCCTTCTCCCCTTCCATCCTTCAAGGACAACTCAAATGCTTCCTCCTCCAGGAAGTCCCCCTTCACTGTGTTCCCACAGTAGCTTGCGCCAGGCACTGATCACAGGTAATGTGAGCGTCTTCTCTCGCTTGGGAACCCCTGAGCTCATTCACCTTTCTTCTCCTTGCTCCCCAGATGCCTACCCTAGGGCATCAGTAGCGAGTAGGCCTCCACAGACCTGCCGAGGTTTCTCTAAGGTTCTTTCCCTTCCACGTTCTTGAGGTTGTTTGGGAGGGACTTGGGGCTTTGCCTGGTCTTTGAAAAAGCTTTTGACACGGGGTGCTGTTGCCTGGGTCAGAGTCAATTCGGGAACTCGAGTTGCCGGAGCCCAGGACCCTGGGCTCAGCAGAAGGGAAGTCGATCTTTCTGGTTCCGCCCGGCGCTCACCTATCTCGGCGGAAGGGCCCTTCCCGCCCGGGGCGCGCGGCTCTCTAAGCCAGGCAGGCCCGGCGGCCGGGGGTAAACCCGGGGATCCCGCCTGATGCTCTCGTGACGGGGTTTTCGAGAAAGACGGGGACGGTGAAGTCCTTCCCTTCTCCCCTGGGAGGGAGGAGCGAACCCTCCACCCGCGCCCAGGGCTGCGGGCCCAGAGCCGCAGTGCGGAAAAGGCCACGTCCGGCTCCCGACGCCCGGCCCCGCGCGAAACCCGGGAGCCCTCGGCGCTCGGCCCGCGCGCGGTCGCGGGGGAGAGAGCGCGGGCGCTTGCGCCGGCCGACGCCCTCCCCAGCCCTACCCTGGGACTCACTCCCTGTGCAGCCCCGGAAGCCCCTGTCGCAGAGCCCTGGTCTGAGGACTCCCTGCGAAAGGCCCACGGGGAGCCCAGCTGCGCGCTGTGCTCGCGAGGCCCGCACGTGTTCCCAGGGCGCCCCGACGGCACGCGCTCTGCGGGCCCGCTGAGCACTTGCCAACGCGTCCTAACCTGAAACTGGGAGGAGCGGGGAGGTTGGCTAGTTTTGCGTTTCCAATCGCCCCGTGGGGCAGCACCTGTCCGCGCCGGTGCACCCAATTCCGCCTGAAGCGGGCCCGAGAGACAGAAACAAAGACAAAAAGCCCTTGGGCTGCCTGACCGAGGGGGAGAGGGGGTGGGCCGCTCGTCCCCTGGGTCCCGTTGAGAAGGGGTGCCACGGATCTCTCGGTGCAGAGTCCAGTCCTGGAGGGCGACCTGTCAGTTGGCCTGCGTGGCCCAGCGCCGGCCCCGGGCCCTCCAGGTCAGGAGGGCAGAGGGGGTCCCGGACATGACAGGTCCCTCTGGGCGGGCGTAGAAGAGGAAAAGCGGGCCGGGCGCCGCGGCTCACGCCTGTAATCGCAGCACTTTGGGAGGCCGAGGCCGGGAAATCGTTTGAGTCCAGGGGTTCGAGACCAGCCTGGGCAACATACAGAGACCGCCTCACCGCTACAAAAAAATTGTTTTAAATTAAAATAGAAAAACCGCACGCGAGGGGGGGGGCAGAACAGTGGTCCCTAGTGACTTGGCAGCCTAACTGAAGTCCTCGTCTCCGAAATGGCTGTCCTTCCAAAGCAGCGTTTTCCACCCAGTGAGGACACATGAAAGAAAACCGTTTCTGCTAAACTATTTGACTAAAATCATGTATACTCCGCTTCTGCAAGAAGGGTACGGGGACTGCTTCAGAGAGGTTTCCCAGCGCACAGCCCCCAGCCCCTTCCGCTCGCCTGCGCCCCGCATTCCGCGGCCCGAAGCACCGGTCTCAAAGCCTCCCAGGAAGGCCGGATTTCCGGGCCATAATCCCTAATTCGCGGCCCCGGGACGGCGCGGCCGCGGACTCGAAGGCGGGTGGGTGCGCCGGGGAGGAGGAGCCGCCGCTTTGTGAATCCTTGAGTCTAACCCGGAGTCCGAACTTCTCTGCGGCAGTGCTTCCTCGACTCAGGACCCGACCCCTAAGCGGGGCCAGCGGGGG